AAAAAATAAATAATTCCTGGCCTGGTCACTCCATCACTCTTCTCTGTGTCTAGCATTGGAATGCTTGTTGAGTTTCTTCAAATTCTAGCTTTTGCCTTTTTGTTGTGTCCTGTAATGTTACTTTGGTCATTGGATATGATAGACTGGGCAAAATGAATTGCCAAACTATATTGCATGAAAATCACAAAAGCTAAAAAATAAATAATTCCTGGCCTGGTCACTCCATCACTCTTCTCTGTGTCTAGCATTGGAATGCTTGTTGAGTTTCTTCAAATTCTAGCTTTTGCCTTTTTGTTGTGTCCTGTAATGTTACTTTGGTCATTGGATATGATAGACTGGGCAAAATGAATTGTTATTGGGCCTTCAGTGATGTGGAGGGAAGATGGAGTGGGAGGGGAGTGCTCTATAGTCCTGTGATTAGCTCTTGGTCTTGTAGTGAGCCTCACCTCTGGACTGTGCATTTCATCTCTATTCCTCAGTCCCACATCCTCTGGTAGGACTGGATAGCAAGTCCTGGGCTTTACATTCCCCATGTGAAAGGCTAACGGGGGCTGGGATTGGATCTCTCCTCTCTTTGGATGATTTGGTTCAGAAAAGTCTTAGCGGGTCAAGTCTGGGTAAACAGTTTCTTTGGAGGGCAGGACTTATTAAGAGCAAAATTCTGACCTTATTGATCAGTCTTCTGAAATTTGTCTTTTAAAAACTCAGCTTAAGAAAATTTATCCCTATTTTTCAGGTTACTGATTTCTAATCTAATGTTTAGTATTTTAGCACCTGCATTTCTCTTGGATTGATTCTGTGTTTCTAATTTCTAAGGAGACAGTTGCTTTCCACAGGTTGCATTGTCGAAATTGAAGTCCCTGCATTTCATGTAGCTGAGCTCCAAGGATTCCAGCAGAAATTTTGTCTTTGCTGCTGTTAGTGGTTTTTTTGTTTGTTGTGGTAATGGCATATATAAGGTAAATCCTCTACCACTGAACTCTAGCCCTAAACTCCCCCATCCCTGCTCCCCACACCCCCCATCACCATTTTAAAACCTTTTTATTTTTGAGACAGGGATTTGTTAAACTTCCCAGTCTTATCCTGAATTCACTCTTTTTAGTCTAGGCAGGCCTTCAGCTTGCAATCTTCCGGCATCAGCCTCCCAAACAGTTGAGATTTTGTGCCCACTATCAGGTTCTTGACCCTTTCTTTTCTTTTTATCCTTCTTTACTGAATTGTAGGGACTTGATAAGAAGAATATTAATCTGTGGACCTTGGACAAAGGGTGCTGAACCCTGTGCTTCTAGGGGACTGACATGGTGTCACCTAACATCTCCAACAATTAGAATGGAGAGAACCTAGATCACGAGGTTTTACAGCCTATGCTCTTTCCTCTTTGCCAAGCATCTTAGCACAGAAAAGTATTCATTTTACAAAGTTGCAAGGTCACTTGATGACCTCACTCAAATATGCCCAGTTATTGAAACTGCTTAATGAGATTCGGGAAAGTATAACTTGCTTGCTGTAAGAGTGCTTATGTTTGGTTGTTTTATTTCTTTATTGTTATCAATTCCATATTTATTTCTCCCTATTGTGTGTCAAGGATTTTTCCTACAGTATCTTAACATGAGCTTAAGTCTCTCTTAAGAGACTTAACATTTGGACATTTTCCTTCTAGGTTTTAGTTGGGGGTAGAATACCTTGAAGAAAAGAAGTAGCTGAACCCTCCAGGGTTATATGTAAATGAACAGTTCTCTTTAACACTGTGGCAAAAACCCCATGTTTTTTCCAGTGAAATGGCTTGTTTCTGAAGAAAAAGATAATCAGTACTTAGAACTGATGGTTCTTGCATGCCTCATTAAAGAAAATAAGAAATGACACACATTTTATTTTTTCCAAAGTCTCTCCTTTTTTTTTTTAACATCCCTTCAGAGCTCTAAGATATCTTTTTCTGCAGGCATGACATGGATTATGAGTTGACTTGCATGGGGCAGAAGTCTCTCTGGGATTCCTGGTTCCTAACCGCCACAAGAGAGGCTTGTACGTGTTCTGAACACTCTGGATTTGGAGCCAAGGTTTGGCTGACTACATCCCTCTGCAGCTGTGGTTTAAATCCAAAACATTCTACCCTCAAATAGAAATTTTTAAACCTAGACCTAGAATTTTTTAAAAAAACTATTGTATAACATATAATTTCCAAAAAAGCCACATTAACCCCAGCTTGCGTGATTTGGAATGGAAGAAACACAACAAAATTCAGATGAAAGAAACCTGCACTTTTGTTTCTATAATGAGAGGCAATCAACATTAAGATAGTATTGTGATATTGAGGTGGAGTGTGATGAGAATTCAAATTTCATGCTAATTACTTTATCTCTCATTTTCTCTTCATGATTGTTTAAGT